CCTCTGAGGTCAGTGAGGAAACTTCCATTGACTCCAGGAGATTTAGAATTATATTGTACACTTAATTTTCCTCCCCCCTTTACCTCCCAACATCCTCTTTTGTTTCTTCTGGAACTTATTTACTCACCACTTTAGCCCTTCCATATCTGGTCCCATGAAATTGGGAATTTACTGGAGCATTGAGAAAGAACTAAATAGATGTCCCTCCAGCCATTATTATTATTTGCACTTCCTATTTTACATCACATTCCCTCCTGCCCCTTTTTCATCATCTTCTTTAAGACTTCTAAGCCCTTTTAGACAAGTACCCTATTTTATCTTTTGTACAGAAACAAAAATGACAGCTGAGTGAAGTGCAATGCTACTTGACAACACCAATTTCAACCACTTGCATTTCCAGCTGCTCCGAGCAATACCACTTCAGGAAAGTTCCATCTCTAGAAAACCACTATTTAATGGTTAAAATAACCATTTCTTAATTTTCAAAGACTCAAACTGCAAATATAAGAACACACAATACATGTAAAACTCTTACAACCCTTAATCTGTTTGGAGAACACCAGCACCTTGGTTTTAGATTTAGAGTACTTTAGAAAATTCTATTTAAATCACAGAAACCTAATTTTAGCATGTTTCTATTGAAACATTTGAGTACTCCAACCACAGGAATTTCGCATACAAAGTATCTTCATTTTGCAGTGAAGGGGAAAAGAAATGAACCCGAGAAATACTGCATTTATTGGTTAATTTAACTAAGTACTCTCTAAAAAAAAGACTAATTCTCAAACCAAAACTCAGAATGCTAACACGCTCACAACTATGTACACAAAAAAGCAGCTGTAGAATCAGTCTCATAACTCTGAGCAGTCACTTTATATAAAAATTTACTTTAAATACAAACAGCATTCCTTATCCCTGCTCTCCACCTGAGAGCACTGCACTCATATTTGTGGACTTAATACAGTATGTAAACTACATAAACACATCTGTTATCCTTTATCACTCACTAGATGGGATCAGAGATAAATAAAAAATCAGGTAAGAAAACCTACTAATCCCATAGTTTTTTTTGTCTCCAAACAACTCTCAAGAAGAAGAAAACACATCAATTTCTCACAAAAATATTATGGCTTAGTTGTATATTTACAGGAATATTGATCAGCTAACTCAATGGACACTTTCACAGAAATGGGCACTTCAGTCGGTCAAGCCCTCTGAGATGTCACCTAAGAACCATCCAGATGGGCACAACTGGTGGAGAAATCTTTGTATTGCATTTCAGCTGGTAGCCAAAAAAAGAAAGCATTGCAAATATCACACTTAATTCTCGTGTTGTTATTCCACACCCAAGACAACGCAGAGGTGTGTGAGCAGACCCTAAAACGGCCGGCCAGGGCTGTCAGTCCATACTGGGACACTGTCTGACAGGAACATGGCTTTCCAGTTCCTTCTGCCTGCTGCTCCAGCCTACAATCGATGTTCTTGCTGCACACACTTTTTCATGGACTACTCCTAAGGTTCAAAAGACAGATGTTAGGATGCCTTTGGTTGTAAGTCAGTATCTTAATGATTACCTTAAGATACATCAATGTAAAAAACAAAGTACACAAACAGATCACATTACAATCCCACTGTCATTTTCCTGTCCAATGATACCCAGTATTTCCATCTTACAAAGATGTTCCCAATATAAAACAAAAGGCTGTGCTTGCTGTTTCAAATGAACTTGCCACGTAAAGCAACCAAAAAATTCGTAGGAAGGATCAAAAAAGTTACATAAATGTCCAGCATGCAATAATTTAAATTGGTAACAAGGAGCAACAATGCTGAAAAATCAATTGCAGAGTGAGCTGGATGGCCAGAGGGAACACTAAAACTACAATTATCTTAATCTAAGGCCTCCAAATCTGAGACAGAACAGTGCTCCAAGTAGGAAACAAAGGCAAAAAAAAAAAAACCAAAAAAACAACTTCCCTTTGAGCTGAGCTATTGAAATGTAGTAACAAACTACTCTTCTGTCTTTGGCAAATGAACAAATTGCAGAAAACAATAAATGAAATTTTTCTATTGAAGCCATAAAAATTACTATATTTAGTTCTGCAGCTTGGCATGAATAAAGTCAATTTACACAATATAGGAAGAGGAATTCTTTCTACTTTATCCAAAGTTTTAAACAAGACCCTAGTGATATTATTTTTGAAATCCATATAGAGTTCAAGATTTTGCTTTAAGCCTCACCAATTAAAGTTAAGATTTATTCCTCAGAACAGCAGTAAAATATTTTAGCAACACACAGAGAAAGATTAATTAAATTCATATGGTGGGGGTATTTTACCATGCAATGCTTATGAAATATCAATATAAAAGAGAAAACTGATAATCAAATTAACTTGCATAAAATATTATCTCTTGCAAATCACAAGACTGTATCATGCAGCTGCTTAGTAGGTGCTGAATGTGTGTTTAGGACCTAAGTGTAGTTTCTGTCTTAAGGTTTAAAGCTATTTTACTGCATCAATTAGTTTATTTCAAGCTCTCGTAATGGCCCACAAAGCCGAGCCTAGGCTCGCCTCCCAAAACCAGCCCAATTGCTCCCTCCTCTGGAAGTCACCGACCATTACACCAGGGCGCCGAGACGCGCAGATAAAACGCGCATCAGTAAGAAGCGAAGTTAAACAAATTAGAAGGGGTTTCCACTTAATTACTTGATAGTCGGCTAAGATCTGACAGACTGATAACCTGCACTTTTCATCCTCTTACCAGAAAGATTCACATGCACAGCTTACAAAATCTAAACGCTTAAAAGCAGAGAATGTAGAAGACAGGCGAGGCACCAGAAACGTGGAATCAGAGTGGTTTGGGTTAAAAGGGACCTGAGAAACCATCCCTCCTCCGGTTCTAACGTGCTGCCAGGAGCAGGGACACCCTCCACCAGACCCGGTCAGACTGCATGGGGCCCTGAGTGGCCTTGAACACTTCAAGGGATGGGGCATCCACAACTTCTCTTGGCTACCTGTCCCAGTGTATCACCACCCTCATAAGGAAGAATTTCTTCCTAATATCTAACCTAAACCTACTCTCCTCCAGTTTAAACCCGTTCCCCCTTTTCCTGTCACTACCTGCTCTAGGAAATAGCCCCTTTGCCCCTTTCAGTACTGGAAGGCCACAATTAGGTCCCCCTGAAGCCCTCTCCAGGCTGAACAACCCCATTTCTCTCAGCCTTTCCTCACAGGAGAGTGGCTCCATCTTCATGTCCCTCCTGTGGACTTGCTCCAACACATCTGGCCTGAACATTTGCAGACTCAGTAAAATACTCACATCAGCTTTAAACACAAGGAATCTAAAATAAAGAGTATAGTATTTTCTGTACTCTGGCTGCAAAGACAAGTAGAATAGTTTTCAATGGAGAATCTATTGCATGGGGATCTTCTGTGCAAAACTTATGTGAAAACTGAAAAGTCTTTGAAAATATTTACACTAAATACAAATCCAGTGAATTTAAAGAAGCAAAACTTGACATACAAAGTCCCTGACCGAACAAGTAAAATGTTTATCTGTGCACAAAGTGAATTTCAATCAGTCAAGGTGAAGTTAATTTTCAGCATTTGGTACATGTAAAAACTAACTCTCATTTCTCAAACACTATAAGAAAGAAGAAGTTGTATTTCGTGAGCATTTTCAAAAGCTTTATCTGTGATATGCTCACCTACAGACATGCTCAATGAGAGCCTAGCCCTTGCTCAGGCAGTCAGGGATGCTAAACTTGGTGACTGCAAGGTCCTTGCTGAATACCAGTAACACATCCTTGCTGCATAATGAAGCTGTAATGATGCAGGTCAGAAACCAACAGTCTGCAGGCTCTACATTGAGTAAAGACATTCCAACTCACACCACTTTTTTTATTGGGCACTTACATGAATATTGATGATATCAAGAGTTCTCAGCTGAGAAAAGCAATGCCTTCAGCCTCAGCTCCTGTTGTTATCAACATCAGTGGTGCACAGAGTCAGAGTATCAGCTAAAATGTGCTCAAAATCAAATATATTTCTCCTCTAAGTCCTTCTATCAACTCAGCCGCACTGAATAATATGATACAGTTAACCTTGTGGAGGTTTACAATCCTGTTGAACAATAAAAATATAATGCAAACATGCCACTAAGTGACAGCGGTTTTCCTTGGAAAAGAACACACAGCACACAAAAATTAAGTGCTCGGTCTTCTCATTAAACAGGTTGGTTACCCACAAAACCAAGCTTTGACAGCTTCCACAGCCTGATCACTCAGGAAGGATTTTGTAGCTGCCCTCCAAAAAATTCCAAGCATACCCACAGAAGAAAAATCTGTTGTGTTATGAAAATTCCTGGAAAAACACTTCCAAGAGAATAATATTTTGTGCTAATCACAATTAGGTTTATTTATTGATTAGCCGGTGTAATCACAGTAGTAGAATTATGAAGTGTTATGTTTATTACAGAATGTTTTGAAAAGTTTTGCTTTTCAGCACATAACTAAAAGTCGGGGACTGTTTGCAAAATGAACTTCAATAGCATTTTATTGCACATGAAACAACAAATCCCTGAAAATGGAAAAAGAGGCAAAAAAGAGACAAATAAATAATACTTTAAGAATATTGCTACACCTTAAACCAGGAACCCTTAAACCTGGGAAGTAGATAAATAGCATTACAAGATTACAGTACGAAAAGAATCCACCCAAAATTTTACTTCAGGTAGCAAACAGTGTTTTACTGAGAATTCATGCAGTTTCTTGCTGCACAACTATTCACTTTTAGTTACAGCCTTTTAATCCTCAGCTGCCCCCAGACACACTCTGCCGTGATACAGCAGCAATTCCAAGTTGGCTTCCAGAGAGAGAGAAAAGCTCATATAAAGTATGCTACCATGACCAGAAGCCTGAAGGATGCACTTTTAGTATCAACAGACATTCTAAGCAGTATTACAGATTTATTATTTTTTTAAAGCTATGACATTCTACTTACCTTAATGACAAATTTGTTGGATGCCATGATAGGTCAGTGTAAGCTGGTCCTATAAAATACCAATTAAAACTAATCAGTACCGGAGAAACACTCAGATCTCTACAGCAATCAAAAAGGAATTTTTACATATGGTCCAATCCTTCCTGACTACTGTTCTTCAAATCCTACACTCTGTTTTTAGAAAAACAAGGATAACTCTTATTTAAAGGACAATTACTTAGCTACCTGTGTTGGTTTCTTTTAGTGAACTTCATAACTTTGGAGGCACTTTGCATCCAACACAGAAAATACGAAGTTAGAACTCTTTCATGTAAGAAACTATAGCTTTTGGCTCACCTGGTATTCATCCATCCACATTATGTATATTTTAAATTTTATACTACACATACAGAGCAGCATAACCCAAGTCTTACGGTGTTGCACAAAAATAAAGTGAACTGGGACATCCTCCTCCCTTGCTTATCCCAAACAGGACCAAAATCACTTAATTTGGAATCCTGAGTGAAAATATTAAAATTTGAGAAATGTGTACACATTTCTCATTGCATTATTCAAATTATTAAGTACTGTGATAGAGCTGTCAACATTTCAGGACACAAACTAGGTTGGGGATATGTTTTTCTGTCAGGCACTATGCTTACATGTTTCAAAATGCAGTTATTATTGCTATTTAACTTCAAAAAAGTGCAAAACAAGATAAACATCCACTCTAAAACTACACAGCATAGCACAGATGATTTTAATCTTAAGATTCTCAACAGTCCTGCACACAGAAGCTGGAATACCATCACGCCTTGTGCCATGTCACTATCATTCTCCCTTGCACCAAACAGCCCTGGAAACTTCTCCATTTTATCAGATTAAATCCTGGCAACTCTACTGATGGCAACTTTGAGAAACACAATGTAAAGAACAGAGCTCTGGACCACTTCAGACATCCTAGTTCAGCTCAGCCATGCAGTAAGTTCAGCTGAACTTACCCTGGCATCACGGATTTCTTTCTGGAAACAATTTACTTTCCAGAATAATACTATTGCAACACGTCTGCTACTACTCATGTGAGAACTGCTGGCAGGCAGAAATCCCCTCCGCATACAATTTACAAAATAATAGAAGAAAAACATAAAAAGGAAAAGGACGCACAAGAAAAGTTAGCTTTGGTTCAGTTTGCTCTTCCTGGGAGTAAGCTGACTTTGGGAGTTTGCCAGCTAGCCCATTCTTTGCACTGACCACACAGATAAGACAAAGGAAATAGAGCAGACAGACAAAATGTAAGCAAATCCACAGAAAACAAAAAGGAAAATATTTTATGTGTGAACCATCAGGGAAATCACTGAAGTGACACAGGTGAAAAAATACTCAATAATAAGACATCAGAAGATGAGGAAAACCACTTATTAATTCTTCAAGGGAAAAAAACCCAACTAGCTCCAGAACAACTAACCCCAAAATACTTTGCCCCGCCGCTGCCCGCCCCGCGCTGCCCGCACGCAAAATGGCCGCCAGCGGCTGAGGCGGGCCGCGCCGCGAGTGACGCTGCGCTCGGCTAATGGCGGACGGCGAGGGGCGGCGCGGCACGTCCGGGGCCGTGCTTCTTGCGCGGCTGCTGCTTCCTGCCGGGGCGCGTTTGAACGTGTCGGGGCGGGTGAGCGCTCGCTGCCCCGGGAAGGTTGATCAGTAGCACCTTCCTCCCTCGCTCGCTCGCTCGCTCCCTCCGAAGGAGCCGCAGGTGCGCTGTGCCTGCGGTCTGGGCCCGAGGGCGCCGCTGCCCCTCAGCCGCCCGCGCGTCAAGGTCGCTGGGTCGCGGGGAAGGAGGAGGAGCGGGCAGTGAGGGCTCCGTGGAGTCGTGCAGGCGCGGTTGGTGGGGCGGGCTGCACCTGTCAGGCCATGGAGGTGGGCCGCGTGTAGGAGCATTTCCTCCGAGTTACAGCTTTGTAGCCGCTCAAACCGGTGAGGCATTTTGGTATAAAACACGAGTGTACTTGCGAATTCCCACGGAAAGCAGTTGGTTTTTTTTTTCCAGTTTCTTACTACATAAGGATTAATTTATTGCTCTCTTTGTAATGGTGCCGCTTCTGAATACTATACGGTGGTCAGGCAAAGCTGCACAAAGGTAAAGGGGTGTCAGAAGCTTCAGCCTTGCTTTGCCTGCAATTTGAAAGTTCTGCATTGCCTTAGGAGCCTAGCTACTCATTGAGTTTTATTAACTACAGAGTGGGAGGTGATTCTGGACCTGCTTTTGGGCTTCAGATGCTTACATCTGGGCAGTAGTGCTTGTAATTAGATAAAGCTTTGTTGCTTTGTTGTGTTTAAGATTTAGTGTGCCAAAGCTCGAAGCAAGTGCAGCAATTAACATTTCAAAATGTCTGGATTGAGGTGTTTTTTTGGTTGGTTTTTTTTTGTTCACAAAGTAAGGCTTTTTGTTTAGTGCTTTAGTCATCTGCTGCACTGCAATTAAAGGTATTAACATTCAGCTTTATCTGTTCAGTGTTGTTATTGTAGAGTAATAAAAAAAAAAGGATTTATGTTTAAAATAATAAATTATCTTTACCTAGGTAGATGCCAGTTTGCAATGGGTCTTAAAACCTTCTGGAAGGACAACAAAGTTCTGATTGTTATGGGAGCTAGCCTGGGACTAGTGCACTGGGGCTGGTATTACTTGAAGTCCAGTCCTGTTTTCCAGGTGAAGACAGAGGATTATGATCCAGAACGTGAAATTCTGACATTCATGATGCAAAGCGCTCGCAAAAGTAAAGAGAAATAGCATTAGTACTTTGATTTTTAGGTAAGTTGCCTAATTAGTTGTATCTGTGTCTTTGAGGGAGAAGATGAATTAATTGAGAATTTTCAAACATACAGCCTTGGTGTTCTAACTTCATTCTTTTGGAGTTTTATTGTACTTTGCAACTAAGTTAATTTTTTGTACCTACATGGACCTGAAAAGTACATAATAAATCTCAAAAAATACTGCTAAATCCCACATGATGAGATCAGCTAAGTGAGGATATTATATGTCTTTAACATATTTTAAAACAAGCTCCAGTGACTTCAGGACAGCAGTCAGACTTGTGTGACTGGATCTATAACAGTGTCCTTTCAGGCTTAAAAGGGCCCAGAAATAATTGTCACTATACATAGTAACATATTCCATGTTAGTAGGAACAGTGGTGACAACAGGGAATGAAACGAAATAAAGTACAAGTGTAAATACTGTAGCGTTCGCATAGAAACGTAAAAAAGCATTGATTTTAAGTTTTAGTGTTTTAAGAACTGAAGAACTATATTTGTGGACCTCTTGAAGTAAGAACCCTTTGTTTGAGCCAGATTTCTTGAAGTTTTGAACATCAAAAGCTGGTGTTTCTGTTGCCTGGCAAGCCCTGCTGACTAGTTGAGTTCTTTTGTTCTTGAGTAAAATGAGGTGGATATCACTGTAGTTTTGACACTTCAGTGAAGTGATGGTAGCCTGCTTCTTACAGACCTGCTGGTAAGAACACAGAGCAGTGGTCAGAATTAATAATAAACAGGTGTAATTGGTGCACTCTCTGTGTTTGTAGTAGAATCACACTGGTAGATTTTCTCTGTTAAAAGCATTGTAGCATGCACAGGCCAGCGGAGGTTCAACAAGGCCCAGTGCTGGGGTCACAGCCCCCTGGTAGATTTTCTCTGTTAAAAGCATTGTAGCATGCACAGGCCAGCGGAGGTTCAACAAGGCCCAGTGCTGTGTCCTGTGCTGGGGTCACAGCCCTGTGCTGACTTACAGGGAAGAGTGGCTGGAGAGGTTCCTGGGAATGCTGGTGGCAGCAGCTGAACATGAGCCAGCGTGTGCCCAGGCGGCCAAGGGAGTCCTGGCGGGACCAAAAACGGTGTGGCCAGCAGGAGCGGGACAGAGATTGTCCCCTGTGCTCGGCACTGGTGGGGGACAGCAGCCTCCGGGGGGACACTGGGGTGCGGAGTGAGTCCCGAGAAGGGCAGTGGTCCTGGGAGGAGTGCTGAGGGAGCTGGGGGTCTTCAGCCTGGGGGAAGAAGGCTCAGGGCAACCGTAGTGTTTCCTGCAGCCACCTGGGGGCCAGTCTCTTCTCCCGAGCAGCAAGTGCTAGGACAAGAGGAAACGGCCTCAGGTTGCACCAGGGGAGGTTTAGATTGGATATGAGGAAAACTGTCTCCACAGGCTGCCCAGGGAGGCGGCCGAGTCACCATTCCTGGAGGTGTTTAATGGATGCGTAGATGTGGCATTTGGGGATGTGGTTCAGTGGTGGCTTGGCACTGCTGGGGAAACAGCAGGACTCGACTTCAAAGGGGTTTTTTTCCAACCTGAATGGTTTTTTGATGCAGTGTGTGTCCTTCTGTGACTTTTTTGGTAAAAACTAAAATAGGTCAAGCTGTACAATATTTTCATAAGATTATTTGTTGGAATTCTGACTTGGTATTTCAACAATTATTCTAATATCTTTCTGGTTTTTATTGTAGGTGTAACTAAGCTGGAAGGTTTTCATCTGTTATTGTTGCCAGAAAAGATGAAGAAAACTACCTGGAGTAGAAAGAACTTTCTGCTTGTAGCAGGACTGTCACTTATAGGTGTCCATATAGGAAGCATGCTTGTAAACTTTGTTGCAAAAAAGTCTGCTCAATCTCATTCAGAAGCTAAAAGAGATCGTCCGGAATGAAACAGATTCCTGCTGTGACTGTTTATGTTTTGCAACATGATTTAAGCCTCGTTTTAAGAGAGCTGTGATCAGTAGTTTCAGGAATGCTGTATATACTGTTTCACACTGCAAATAATAATCCTTGCCTGGAAAGAATTAAAATGTGCTACTCTTAAAATTTAAAAGTGCAATGAGTTATAGATCCAAGTAAAAAAAGTGAAATGTTTTTTTGGCTAGAATTAAAATCTTACCTTCAAAATGTCTCGCCTTGAAGCTAAAAAGCCTTCGTTATTTATTAGTGAGCCACTAACTAGAGATGCAGTGAGTCAGTCACTGTCTCTGCTGAGTGGGATACTAAAATCTTCCTACGGTCCTGCTGGTCGACTCAAACAGCTCCACAATGGTGTG